CTGACCTATGTATATTTGGTTGCAGTTGCAAATCCGTCCTCACTATAAACCGCATTTTTTCAAAAATGAAAGACAAAGTCCCGCTACTTGGCTTAACTAACACAGTCTACTCCATCAATTGCAACAACTGCAACCAAATATACATAGGTCAGACCTCCAGATCTCTTAAAGGAAGGATTACATCACACAAAAGTGATGCTAGGCTTCATCCTGAAAGATGCGCTCTAGCATCTCATGTTAACTCAACAGGGCATTCTATAAATTACACAAGTATCAAAGTTCTTGATAAAGAAAAACACCTTTCCAAACGTTTATTCCTGGAAATGTCCCACATTTTCATGAATAACAACTGTATCAACAAAAAGACAGATATTAAACAACTGAGTGTCATTTACTCATATTTGCTAAACTGCGAAAATTTGGAGAACTTACATATCTCCCCAAATTTCGACTTCTCACAACCATAAATATAATCTGTGTTTTGGCCAATTCCACCAACAAATTTCATTTCACTCAAAATCTAAAAATTCTCTTCTCACGATTTATTAATAATTATTAATTTAAAATTCCCATTAATTAAAATATAGTTTATTCAACTGCCTCTGGTCGGTTTAACAATTTCTTACATAACATTCTGAAAATCACATCATCTGAAGTGATTTGGCAACGTTTTGGCACACGCCCACAATTCGTTCCATCTTTCAACACAGACATTGACAACCTTCGGCCTTCTGTCAAAGGTTCATCTCACTCATTATTCCATGACCACCATTTTGTGCAATCATCAAGTAGCTTCACGACGTAATGCTCTAATGTTTTCTAAATAATTTTTAATCTGTCTTTAACTTGTCTTGTCATATTTTATATAATTTTAACCATTGTACCATGTATCCAGCTCTCACCATGTTACTGGACGTTTCCCTCATCCTATACGAAAACAACAATTAGCAACATCCTCACATACTACTGTAAGTTGATTCAATTTAAATTCATTTTACACTTTTGTTGCTACTGTTATCATTGTAATTGCAGCTCCTGATGATGATGGCAAAGTCCATTGAAAGCTAGAGAGAATTAAAAAAAGTATAAAGAGTCCTCTTTGCTTAAATTTTGTCGAAGTACCCAACAAAAGGCGGAAGCTTTAATTTTTCACCTATATATAATATATATATATATATATATATATATATATATATATATATACAATTTCACATATTTTCGTTTAAATGATTAATCAGTGAGGGTGTAAATTAAATGTTTTTAATTTTTCATCAATCAATATGCGTGAAATCTGGTTCCAGCAGAACGGAGCAACTGCATACTCGTAACAATACAGATAGGAAAACGATGAATGTTCTGCAAAGGATGTTTTGAGAACATTTCATTCCACAGTAAAGCAAATAGCACTAGCTGAGGATCATATTTGTGAAGCTGTATAGTAAAGGTGAAGATATAAACATCATTTACATCAAATAATTTCATTAGTAATATAATAATAAGATCAGATTTTTGAATCCTTTATCGTCATCGGTCCATACAAAAGCTGTATAAGCTAACGTGAAAATTTGGTGAAGATGTGAAAATCATTCCCCGAGAGTAGCTTGCTTTAGCTTTGTTTTTGTTTCATTGACTTGCAAAGACATACTATTTCTTTTTCAAAGTAATCAAATAGTACAAGACAATATACAGAGTGTTGATAAAATACCTAGCTGAACTTAAAATTATGATTCCTTGTGTGATTCTGAAAGGAAACCCTCATAGGTTCGGATATGCTACGAGAATCCAAATTGCATGTCGAGACGTAATTTCAATGGAATCATAAATGAAAAACTGTTGAATTCGCCTTTGTGATTGCCATCGCCTGTTTGAAATCTACTAAGTTGTTCTTTTGGGGGTTTTAGGTTTCATTGCCGGTGCCCTGAAAATGAAGCGTTTGAAATTTAGCCAGGAACTTCATTAACACCAGCTCACGTTTGGCGTAGAAAATAAAGCCTCAGAGATAACACACCGCCTTTCGCTTGTGCGTGGGAAGCGAAGAATAAATTTGAATAAACAGTGAAAATTTATCTGTATTCAACACCCCTGAGAAATAAATAGTTCAATGAATATTTTAAATTGTATGCATGCACATAAATACCTAGATTTGCAAATAAATCACGGCTGTGGTACTAGGCAGGTCATAAATAACTTACAGGCATTTTATTTGCCACCCTTTCTTATTAATCTGAATGCCAAATGCAGAATAAGGCTAGGACAGGAATATAATATGTGTACCAATGTATTGAAAACGTTGAACTAAGATTTATATCCTCGGCAATTCTTTATACCGGTGTCTCTATGAGTATGACATTACTGCTAAATCTCTTGACTTCATGTTTCATAGACTAGTAACAACAATTTTTTATATAAATCCGGAGAGAATGCAGCAAACACGTTTTTCGTACTAATTTAAACTAAAAAAGGACTATTTAATAGTATTAGACTTATTAGTTAGATGCTTATGTTATCACTTAAGATTACTGAGCTCCTGTCACCATGTCAGGCAGCAAATTAATAATGACGTCTTATCTTGTTCATTATTAGATGCGATCGTTCGGTTTGTTGAAACATTAGGGCTGTTTCAGCCTGATCAGTGATCTAATACTGAATTCCTTGATGGTAGGGAGACGGATGTAACACTTAATCATGACATGGGGACAAAACTTGGTGAGCCGACGATCATTAATTCTCCGAATCTTGTGCTGGAATCGCGGAACTAAAGCAATACTGCTGTTGTTCACTGTGCCCCATAACTAGACATCTTACGTCCAAATTGGTTTTAACAGAACCTTGTAGAGTTACAGCTTGTTGTCCAATGACAGTTTAGATTTCCTACCTATAATCCAATACATTTCAACTAAACAAATACAGTTTTTTAATACAACTTAATCGACGCAGCTTGACGAGAGCTCTACTCTTGCCATTGAATAATGAGACGTTCTACCAGCGCACTCATTTGAAGCTAACAATGCTATCACAATTCATTTTCTCGGTGTAACATAAGTGTAGTTCGTAAATAAAAAGAAGTTTCATTTTTTCCAAACATTGATGTATCATAGGTTTTATCAGCTCCCTAATCTGTGTAATTTGGAAAACTGGAGTATAGGAGATCAACTTGCAAGTGAAATCAATCACCAACAGCTTTATTTAACCGATCTTTCACATTTAACGTAGTTACACTGTACAACTCGATTCCAGAAATCATAAAGCCATTGTATTTAAATAGGCTGAAATATTATTTGAAAAATCACCTCCTTCATAAATAAGTGTTTTTGTGTACTCGTATGTGCTTGAAGTCTTAATATCAAATACTATTGTATTTTTTCTAATTTCTTATTACTAGGTAGGCGTCATCTAGTCAGTGCTTTCATTTGCTACTACTTAAAGCTCTGTAAAGTACTGTATGTAATTTTATATTAACTAGTACTCATACAATGTTTCCATAACGTAAACGATTCCAATGATAAAGATAAACCTGGTCGAAACGTGATGAATGAAAATTATTCTGCCTTTTTTATATTCTACAGCAACTGCTGAGTTTGTTCAATATTCTGGGTACCTCAGAAACAAATATTGTTCGGTTTTCATTTTACAGAGTTCGATCGAGTTACAACGAGAAGCCTAAAGTGTGTCTGCCTCGCAGAATGCGGTATCATCTTGAAGGGGAGTGCCGATGAGCGAAACAATTTTTTATTCTGTATTCTGTATAGGAGGAAGGTCAATTAACCAAAATCACAGCACTTAGGCCCCATTGGGCCCATTGTACGTCCTCTCTAGGGTTGCTCAGATCTGAATCGTTTGCCACCCTAGACTATTAGAAAAGGTGGTGATACGACCCAGCGGAGTTTTCCTTTCCTATGAGGGTTTCCAGAATGTATTCTCTGTATTTATAGGACAACTGCGCAGTCGAAATCAAGTGACTGACTGTCTCATATATACATATTTCATATGCTTCCTTAGGCGACTGTGTCTAATTGCAATGCCAATTGCTAATCGAAGTTGTTGACATAGACAGGTAGTTTTTTACTACTTCCTCACGAGCAATTCCATAGCGAATGACCAGCCCAAAATATCATCTTACATGTTCATGAAGATGTTGTAGATGTGCTCTTTTAGCCTGGCTGTCATGACACCGATGGGTAGAATACAGAGGGGCACTCGGCACACAGTTCTGGTGTCAGTCTATTGGCTGCAATATTACCCTCTAATTGTGAATGGCCCTTCACCCAGGCAACATTTATGTTATTAGTGGTGGAGACACTCACAAGTGCCAAGAGGCAGTCAAGTGCTGTTCTCGTTGTAAGCTTACAAAACTTGAATGTCAATGTTGCTTGCCTGCTGTCCATGCAGATCCTATTTCTTTACATGTGACGTTTATGTATGCAATTTCTTTTTATTGCAGCTAACTTGATCTGCGTGCATGGTTGTCCATAGTTCACTTGAAGTTCATGCGGACGCTACTAGAGTATGCTCTGCAGCCAGACCCGTTATCCTTTTTAGATCCGTCAATGTGAATAACACCCTCCCCGATCTGGTTTTGAGAAGCTGCTGTAATAGTATAGGGTCTATCGATGCTGAATTTTCTAAGGATATTGTCCATATCAGCCTGCAGAAGTGTCAGTAATTTCCTTATTCCACAAGCAATTCCTATCTATTCCACATCCTACGTTAGGCTATGTATCCAAGAATTTAACCATACCATTGTTGCCAAAGAAACTTGTACCATATAAGTTCCTAGTGGTGGCAAGTTTAGCAACTCTTTAATTGTTCTCGCTGGTGTAGTTCGCATAGCACCAGTTACGCTAAGGCGTGCAGCCCGCTGCACCTAGCTTAGCTGTAGCTTTGTGAATACCTGATGACATTTAGTGACCCACGCCACAACTCCATAGGCAACCATAGATCTAATAGTGATAGTGTATATCCATATAGCAACTTTGGGTTTTAAACTCCACGTTTTGCAGGTCGATAGAAGCGCCCCTTCACATGAGTGAGCAACTCAAAACTGTTGTATGTATGTATGTCGGAAGGAAAATTCCATTAAACATCTTCAAACTGTTAGTGAAGGAAATGCTATCGATCAGGCGAACAGCATGCCTGACCGCGTCTTATAGACAGTGAGTAGGTTAGCTGGTGCTATGGTGCCAAGCACTTCATAGCTCTGAACAGATAACCCAGCTTTTGGTGCTTCTTACTGATTAAGGTGCAGGAGTATCATTTAGAAACAGTAAACTGCGCTGATGCGAGTCCAGACAGCATTAACCTTGTGACATTTCGCAGTCCTTGCTTGAACATACAAATAGCAGTTTATCCTCAAGCAGCTCTAGTTACTATTTAAGCACATCAATCTAAATAGTTTCAAAATAAAAATCTATTCGTCTAGACAAAGTTTAAACTGGTAACGACTTTTCGAACATTTCAACAATCAATAGTGCGCTAATATCCGATGCAGCTCATATATCACCCATAATAAAAACCGCCCATTGGTGGGCATGTGTGATAAATAACACGTTTAATTTAGTGCCCTTCCCTATTAGATCGATTGTCACACACACACACACGCTCCCTGCCTCCTATCCAACCAGAAAATTAATCGACGTGTCATAATTATTTTAAAGTGCCCTGACCTTAATTTTATCAACTGTAACACGGTACATTAACACAGACATATACATATCTATCTGCTGTTGGATGTGGTATGCATATATTTCCAATATATCATAGGAAACGCTAACGGTTTGTCTCTAACGAACGCGTTCTGGTTCTACCTAAGCCGACGGGCATCATTTAGCTATTCAGAGATAATGAGAGATGTAAATAGGGAGTGATTCTTGTGTCCGCTCTTTTACTAGTAACCCATAGAGATTAGAATTTGCTCCAAGGAGCAAATTTGACCAGTTAGAAGGCATTTTTGTAGTAATGGATCCAATGATGCCCAATGACACAAACCTTACGGTCTGGCCTTGATTCCTACTGTTGTACTGAAAAGATGCGCATAGGATCTTGCTCCAGTTCTTTCGCGTCTCTTGCAGATGTCTTGAGAATCCAAAAAAACTGTAAATTTGGTCGTAGTTATAATAATAATTTATTCATCCTGGTGATATAGCATAATTCACAATGGAATATTTGTATGAAAAGAATTCCATACATACATAAATGATATTCCAATATCAAATAAAAAAAGTATAAGAGTGAAAATGAATTAAAATGATAATTTATCAAACAATACATTAAAACTATTAAAAAAGACTATCACAAATAAAAAATTCTTCTATAGAAGAAATAGTTATATCCAGTAAAATTTTCCTGATTCTTTTTTTAAGTAACGTGGTTTCTGCTTGTTCTATTTATATAATGCTCGATTCTATAAGGAGGCCACGGTCCATGTGCACGTTAGAGTATTTACATCTAAGGAACACTGTCTTTTTGTGATTTGAGACCAGGTCGTTATTATTGAATCATTGCTCTGCACTAGCTAAGCTTGTGTTGACATTGAATGAATGAATCTTAAAATTTAGAGGCATCCCGGCCACCATAAGGAGTCAGTGCATAGGCCGCTTAAGCGGGCCCTTATGCACCTCTACAATACTTAAATCACAAGCCTCGCCCTTTTAGCGAAGTTGAGAATCGCCTTGAGTCCAAGCTCCTTGACGTCCTGAGGGTCCAAAGTAATGGACCCCAGTATGGTCTGCCTATAGTAGCTCAGAGCTTCACAGCGACACAAAACGTGCGCCGAGGTCTCTTCCTCTACTCCGCAGCGTTCGCACAAGGGATCCTCAGCCACCCCCATCACGTGCAGGTACCGCCTTAACGTGTTATGGTATCCCACCAGCAACCTTAGGTTGGCTCTACCCAGAGATAGGCAGAAGCGTCCATCCTTAGCACTGGGCCCTTCAATGAGCTCTCGTGCCTGGCGGAGATGTCTAGAGATACTTATCCATTTCTGATAGTGTTGTCTTGCAACCCACGTCTCCATTTTCCTCCTAGCTTTATGCGCGGTTACTCCTAGAGCTGGCTCAGGACCAACGAGCTTGCTGGCTGATCCTGTTTTCGCCAGAGTGTCCGCCGTCTCATTGCCCCTTATCCCAGCGTGCCCCGGTACCCATATTAACGATACCGGATGCCTCGCTGCGAGGCAATCCAGAGCCTCCCTGCATTGCAATACAAGACTCGAAGTAATCTTACAGGCACTTAGTGCTTTCATTGCAGCCTGGCTGTCGGATAAGATTGTTATTCTTCTCCTAGGCCCACCCTCCTCCAGAATGTGAGATACACAAGCCAGAATCGCAAAGATTTCCGCCTGGAAAATGGTGGTGTATTCACCGAGAGGCAGAGATAGCCTAGTTCTAGGCCCAGAGACCCCAGCACCTGAGCCCTCTTCGGTGACCGAGCCGTCCGTGTACCAGACCTGCCCGCTCACTTCGGAGAGTCCTCGGCTACCGGCGTCCCACTCCTCCCTCGTTGGATACTCCACAATAAACTTGCGGTTGAAGCGATATTTAGGGGTAATACGATCACCCCTGCTTAGAAGGACGGGGTCCTCCCTTTCTAATTCGACTAAGATGGCAGTATGCCCCTTGACCGGATTCAAGAAAGCCCAGCTGCCCTGACTCCACAGTCGATGAGCGACTACTCTCGCTTCACCGCAGATCACCAGATCCAATGGTGGGAGATCCAACAGAGCTTCCATTGCACTCAATGGCATTGTTCGCACTGCGCTTGTAATGCTAATACAGGCCAAACGCTGAATTTTATTGAGTTTGGCCTTAGTTGACTCAGTTCTAATGCAAGGCCACCAGACCAGGGAGCCGTACAAGAGAGATGGACGTACTATCGTCGTGTAGAGCCAGTATACCACTTTGGGTTTAAGCCCCCACCTTACACCGACAACTCGTCTACTAGCCCACATCGAATTGCGAGCCTTGCTAACCTTGTGTTCCACATGCTCTCTCCAGTTCAGTTTGCAATCCAGGATAATTCCCAGATATTTCACTGACTGGGACAAAACTAATCTAGTCCCAAAGAAGGTCGGCATGACCAGTACGTCAAGCCTTCTTCTCCTAGTGAATAGGATCAGCTCGGTCTTTTCAGCATTAACAGAAAGATCGACTTCCCTACACCACGATTCCACGGAGCGCAGAGCGCCCTGCATAATTTCCGAGACTGTTCTACAGAAACGCCCCCTAACTACTATGCTTACGTCATCAGCATAGGCTTGCGCATAGACACCCATACTGCTGAGCCTAACGAGGAGTTCGTTCACCACGATACACCACAGTAGGGGTGACAGAACTCCGCCCTGAGGGCAGCCTCTAGCTACGTTCACGCTGCAGCTTACGTTATTCAGCATAGCTGTTGTTACCCGACCCTCCAGAGTAGAGAGGACCCAATCTATTAGGATTGATCCAACCCCGTGTCTAACCAAGGCCTGTCTGATAGAGTCGGTTGTGGTGCAATTAAATGCACCTTCAATGTCCAAGAAGGCCACGAGTGCCACTTCTCGCTGATCTAGAGTCTTCTCCAGCCTCCCGACCAGATTGTGTAAGGCCAGATCAGTCGATTTTCCAGCTTGGTATGCAAACTGATTTGCATGAATGACACACCTTTCCAGCGGGCCATCCCTTAGGTATCTATCAACTATCCTTTCCAGGGTCTTAAGCACAAAAGATGAAAGAGTAATCGGTCGAAAATCCTTCGGGTCAGTATATCTATCTCTGCCCGGTTTAGGAATGAATACCACTTTAGCCTGCCGCCAGCTTCTAGGTGTGAAGCACACATGCTCGAAACACATTCAACAGGTAAGGAACAACCGAAATCCGTCCCTGCTGTAACATGGCCGGAAATACGCCGTCCAGACCTGGACTTTTGTATGGGGCAAACGAATCTACTGCCCATACCGTCCTTTCGAAGGTGACAATCTCCCTAGCCGTGCGCCAGTCCTCCCTTGAGGGCCTGCGCAACTGCATGCACTCTGTGATTGATCGCGCTACTGTGGAACCGGGAAAGTGCGTATCCATCAGAAGCCTCAGAGTATCTTCCTCAGAAGTAGTATTCCTCCCCGAGGCATCATGCAGAGATCCCAATCTTGCTTTAATGTCTTTGCATAGGACTCTGTGTATTCTTGCAGTAGCAGGAATGTCATTTATGGACTGACAGAAGTGCCTCCAGGATTCTCTGGAGGCCCTTCTAATCTCCTTTTTGTACTCCTGCAATGCCTTTTTGTATTCTTCCCATAGAGGAGAACCTCTCCTGTGCTTAACTCTGCTAAGAAGTTTGTGCACCGCTCGTTTTCTATCCTCTAAATCTTTGGTCCAGAAGGTTGCTTTGCCCTTACCTTGGACTTTGCGTAACGGGCAGTTTTCCTCATATGCAGCCGTCAAGTCCCTGCTCAGAGACTCGACAGCTGCTTCTATGTCAGAGCCCCTGCCAAGCCTGTATGGGACCGCTCCAAGCTTACTGTCAATGTCTGCCCTAAAGGACCCCCATCTAGTATGCCTGGGATTCCGAGCATATTTATCCGGAATCTCTCCATCAGTCTTGAACAGTATATACCTGTGATCCGATAGAGAGGGTGTTAGAGACACTTTCCAGTCCCTGATGTCCTGAGCTAAGTTAAGCGTGCTCAGTGTTATTATATATATTTGATAATTTATCAAACAATACATTAAAACTATTAAAAAAGACTATCACAAATAAAAAATTCTTCTATAGAAGAAATAGTTATATCCAGTAAAATTTTCCTGATTCTTTTTTTAAGTAATGTGGTTTCTGCTTGTTCTATCTATATAATGCTCAATTCTATAAGGAGGCCACGGTCCATGTGCACATTAGAGTATTTACATCTAAGGAACACTGTCTTTTTGTGATTTGAGACCAGGTCGTTATTATTGAATCATTGCTCTGCACCAGCTAAGCTTGTGTTGACAATTCTTACCACGGACTCAAAACGTTTACCATTAACAAGGAGGTATCGTAGCATACTTAGTCATACAAGTCATATCTCATATATAGGAGGGGCCAATTATGGAAACCTATGGACCACCTGTATGCTGGTCAGACTGTGCAGTCAGTACTTCAACATTATGCTTTCTGTTGCTCAGATAACCTCTGATTCCATATCTATCCAATTTATAGTAAAAGTATAATATGGTCAAGTCCCATATAACTACAGGCATATACCTCTGGTTTCTGTTATAAGTTAGGTGATGAAAACAAATCAGGGGCTTCTGGAGTACCTAGAACGCCACAGCTTGATTAGCAACAGGCAGTATAGTTTTCGTTACCAGCAATCCTCGGGAGACCTCCTAGCTGTGGAGTAAGCTCACACAGTCTCATTATGACGCTCAGGTCGTTCCTCATGATATCACGGCGTTCGATCAGCTCTGGCATGCTGCCCTCCATCGTATGGCCTCCCAGAGAAGCTTTGCAGAGGGGTGGCTGACTTCCTCTCTGGCCACAAGATATCCTGGTAGTTAACACTGCTTGGAGACGCCAGAATCTGGCACAGTTTAAGGCTTTCAAAACACAGTACTGTGCCTTGACTAAGAAGAAGCGCCCTAGCTCCCATCCGGTTTCTTAAATGGCCAAGTTCTACCAAAAATCTGTTCATTTCGGGTGGTAGAAATAGCTTTAGGCTAAGAAGTATTTTCCTCTACATAAACTCCTCACTCAGTATAGGGTCTAGATAAGGCCTAGCCTCGAGCACTGCTAACATTTTTAGGGTGCTGCCACCTCAACTACATCATAAATACTCGATGCTGTTCAGATAATGACGGTGCGTTCGATCGAAGATTCTTCCTTAACGGGCTGTCTCGGCACCCTTTCGCATCGTCGGTGATCTAGCTCTCTTCTACCGCTACGTCAAAGGGCTTTGATCCTCAGTGCTCTCCTCCGTGATGTCGCCGCGCAATGTGCCTGCGAAACAAACCCGCCTCACTTCTGCCCACATCCTAGCGAACTTTGTACATCCAAACTAGCCGACACGACCACTCCTTTGTCCCTAGGGTTTCGAGATTGTAGAACAATCTACATGGGGGGGCTTTTCCCAGTTCTACTAACCTTAGGCAGTTCAAAAATCATAATAACAGTTTCATTAAGCTCCTCATAGAAGCCGCGGCTCGTTCTATATAAAAAATGGATATAGTCGATCTCTTCTAAAATACATATATCTCAAAGGGGACCTTTAAGCTCCATACTAAGTCAAGAAATTCTTTGCAAATCACACAGTTTGAATAAAAAATTCTATTCTATTCTATTCAAAAAATTTTATCTGCGGATCAAAATTGACAAGCAGCGATATTAACAGTACTGGACCGACAGTACAAGATATTCAACACCAGCTATCAAGTATTTGTTGCCTCTTTCACAAAGTCGAGCAACCGACAGTCTATTCAAGCAGAACTATATCTCTCTCTCTGTCTCTCTCTTACCTCAACAGCAATTCAAGAACAATCCTAATATATGAATGCACAACATAGGTGAATTCGGAAAAAAAAAACTACAAGTTCTCTTCAACACATTTCTATGCAAAGTTTTACGAAAATTTTGGTCAAGAATAATATCAAACACAAAACCTTGGAGCAATCAAAAAGTAGGAGCTCAGATAAAACAAAGTAAGTGAAACTAGTCATAGGTCACCTACTATGAAGAGGAAGAAAGATATTAGTATCTAGAGTGACCATTGGCTACAGTGTTTGGTTAAATAAGTTAATAGCTTGTCCACAGAAAGTACTTCATAGGTAGTTTGGAACCATGGCCCTGGCCAGTGTACTCAGGTTCATTACGCAAAATACCGTACGTTCACCTTTATTTTGATTTTATCACACGTTGCCATAGGTAGCATTTCGGCCAGCATAGTTTTTCAATATTGGTCAATTATTTAGCTCTATTGATGGGGTGAACAATGATATGACCTCACATCTATGGATATTTCCCTACGTAAACATGTCTACAAAAGTATACCAGAGATGATGAACGTACGTTGTATTCGCAAACATTCCCACATACTCCAGACTTCACTTTCTTCCAACCAATGACAAAGTCTTAGGACCACTAGGACTATAACGTTTTCAACAATTTCTCTGTTTTATTCTAATTTAATGTACTAATCCTTCAAAAACAACCCCTATAAATACCGTCGATAGGATGCTGAGGATCCTCTGCAGCATTTTAATTGATCCAGTTGCATCCCGTAATCTTATTCAAACCCAATCCAGCCACACAGCTCCATACACCTAAATCTGCCAGCTGTCCAGCTCTACAAGGCTTGTTCCTTGTTTCCAATACCAAGAATTACCATATATCTCTTGAAGTAGTTGCTATACACAAAGCCACAAACTAAATTGGCCAGTTAAATTAGAATGTACAGCGAGCTAGAAAGCAGCGTCGCAACTTAATAGGGGTATTGTGGACGAAGGTTCGGAAAATCAAAACAACGCTTATGACCAGGAAGGCTCAAGCAGAATAAAGAAATACGTTTTGTTGGTTTCATAATATAAACATGAATGCTCCGGTAGAACCGATCTTAGCTTCATCATTGTTTCTGCTTATCAGTGACATTTTCTATAGCTTGGCCTATAGGTTGTTAAAATTTGAAAATGTTAAATGTACTTCCACTCATAATGACTATCAAAACGTGGGTGAGTAAACCTTACCAGGGCCGAGTTCTTACTGCTTGTGGGATCGGAAGTCACTGAGGACATGACTTGGCAGACTCACAACTGGTTGACTGCATCAGCAACAGAAAGGAACCTGGGAGCTTTATACAGAGTTAAGAATGAATTTCCATCCCCTAATTTGGTTACAGACCACGCTAGAAGTGCCTTGAGGGTCAAAAAAATCAATGACGAAGAAAGGGGACTCAACAAGGTTAAAGAATTGCTGAGAAAACTTAAGCACTGCAAAACGTCGAATATAGCTCCCATAGTGAAAAAACTGATATAGTATGTTGCAACTAATCATTGAAAGTAAAACAGAAAGCTGAAGAGATCGTTGGATGATAACAAATTTCTTGGTAACACTATACTTTACGCATTATTTTAAAATGAAAGACTAGGATGTAAATTTTACGAAAATTTATTCTTTTCTTCAAGGAACCCTCTACCCTCTGCTTTCTATTTTATAGAACTTCAAAGTTGCAATTTTGGTCGTAATATTCTAAAATAGATTACTCTATTATACGCTGTTTTTTTTTCTTTTTGCACAAAAGGATGCTTTAAATTATAAGAATATAACATACACTTATAAATATAAATATATATATAAATATAAAATAGATGTGTTACTGTAAAATATTATTATTATTATTATTATTATTATTATGATAATTGAGAAGAGCAGACTACACAGTACTATAAGCTCATGCAGTAAATATAGTGTACGGACACGTAACACAAATACATCAAATAGAAAAAAATAAAAAAAGACAGTTCATAGCTGTAAAGTTTGTACACTCCTCCAGCTATCATACTGCACTTTGAAGCTATTAACTGAAGTAGCACCAACCACACTTTCAGGTAAACTATTCCAGGTGTTGAATATGCGGTTGGAAGAAACCACTGTCGGACTGTTGTTTTAAATGGCTCCTGCAGTTTGAAGCTGTGTCCGCGTAGATTGCTGCGCGACGGACGGTATAGATGCATGAGGTTGGTGCCCATCAAACCATGAAGTATCCTGAACGTAACTATAAGATCGCCACGAAGTCTTCGTTGGTTTTTCAAACGGAAAGGTTAAAAACTAGCTATATAATAAACTGAAATGACAGTTCAAAATACATACCGCAAATGATGGTATTTACTTGGTAAACTGTGTTGTGTTGAGATTTTTTAATATCTTCTTGAAATTCCTTAACCATTCTGTTTCGCGTATTTTCAATGAGATTAAAGTATTTGCGATTATAAGAAGTATTTGGTACAAATAATTCTCAATGGCCATTTTCTAACGTTCATGTCTTGACAGATAAGATAACTGATCTCCATTGTTGCCAAGTTGAACATTTTTTGGGAGAACAACGTAATAAAAAAATTAAGTTACTTCTAAATTAAAGGTCTTAATTTATTGTAAATGGCTTATTTTATATGAAGTATTTACTGAAATTGAAACTTTGAACAGTACGACTCTAAACAGTGGAAAATGCACCAGCGGCTCGCGTGACATAAAAAATACAAAAAGCACCAGCGATCATTGCATATAAAAATACCCCCCTTCGACTGGTCGATTTCAACCATGTCGCCAGGTCCACCCAATATACCATCGTCCAACATTAAGGTTAAATAAAGATAATTGACCATTTCATCAAATCAGCAAAAAACTTCATTATTTCAGTAATTTCTCACACTTCGAAGTTGAGTCATTTATTTTAACAGTGAGTAGATCTGATCAAAAGAAATGTTTTTTTTCTTTACCATTTTTCTGGTAAAATTAAAGTAACAAAGTTATAGCCCTTTGGAAGTTTGAGTACCGCCCTATCTCAATGACAATATTATGTGCTCGTGTTTTGCAACAACGGATATAATCCGCCATCGGTTCATCGCATCGGAAACAAAAAAGCGAAAGAATTTGGAACGATGTTTTTACAATTATTTTATTCAGTTGTGTTGTATACAATCAGTGTCAGTCGGTAACGCGTTAGTGAATAGTAGTGTCTGTTGCGTGGCTCAAACGAAATAAAAAATGGCACCTGTTTATTCCCATCGGTTTCCCAATCGAGTGCAACCAACCCCTCGTGCCTTTGTTAATGTAGTACAACGGGCTCGTGAATCAGGTGACTTAAGACGGCATGCCCGTGCTCCAAGACCTCGCGATCAAATACAGGTCCGCACTGAAATACTTGTCGGGAGGATACTTTATAAGACAAGGTAAATTTTTTTTTTATTTTTTTTTTATTTTTACACACATATTTTGGTTTATCTTCCTTCTACAATCATTATCTGAAAATTAATGACTCTGACATTAAATTAGGTATATTTTGTGACATCAGCTTCACTTTAAATAATTCTTCAGGAACATACAAACAGTAAATATATTATAACTATAATATAGGAAAAACAATAATCGAAGTATTTTTGTGAAAGACATACGGCATTATTTAGCAAACGATATCGTGGGTCGTGAGGTAGATTTAGTTCAGTAAAACCTGCTGGCCACACCTCCAAATCGTATTTTCATGGCAATCCTATGCCGATTGCAGTAAGAATTTGACAAACCAGATCAAGGTACATTAAATGATTTGGCAACGTCGCAACTAGCTGCAGAAATTATTATAGTGATGGGAATATTTATCTGAAATAAAAGAAATAACTACTTAATAATATTGTCACAGTTATATACACTTATGTTATATTCATATAATGTTGAGCATTCTTTTGTGTAAACAAGAAAAAAACAGCTCATAAAGCAGTATTATATACCAAAGTGTTACCACCCAAAATGCAACTTTGAAGTTCTATAATATAGCAAGCAGAGGGTTCCTTAAAGAAAAAATGATTTTATCGTACAAGTTACATCTTTCATCTTAAAATAAGAAATTAAATATTTGCGATATTCGCTAAAGTCTAGTTCAGCTGTCTTCACCAGGGTTGTGAACATTGGTTAATTCTGGTATGGGACATAACAAGGAATCTGATTGCTCTGTACAAAGTCTATAAATATAAGATGATCCATTACCTGGAACGATGTCTATGTGTCACGAAAATGATACCCCAACTCTTTATATATACATGATGCGATTCAGGCTTTCACAACCGTTGTTTTTGGCTGTTATGGAATTAAACACAGAGAAAAACGACTAGAGTGATCAGGCAACTCTGGAATAGCTTCTAGTGATAAGACTTGGGAATGCCCCAGAAAGGGAATTGATCTCTCTTTCTCTCTCTCTTATAAGTAATAACTGGCGTATGGTTACACTTTCAATAGATACCATGGTAAATACTAATGGATCACAGTAAATACTGATCATGTGACATTCGCCTTGCTGCACAAAACAAGCGTGTGACATTTTCATATTCTTGTATGGGTGTCAAGTACCAAGAGAAGTGAAACAATGTAGTGGAAGACGGTCAAGAAGGTTGTGGTAAGGGTCGTGGAATTCTAACAGGACCGAAGCTTTTGGGCTGGCCAGAAAAACAAGTGCAAAAGTGCAAATAGCGGGTAAATGTTTAACTAGTCACTGGTTATTCAGAGCACAACTACAGAGACTACAGATAGTAACTTCCTATGCTGTATGTGTGGAGAGACAAAAGAAGCCGCAAAATATCTTCATTTGTGCTACCATATAGTTGGTGCACCAAAACGGAAAAGACTTACACATAGTTTTAACTTTATGGTATCGTGAAAGGGATACCTATAAGCTTTATGGTTGGTCAGTTCAGACTCATGTAGGTACAATGTATATTATGGATGAAACATTACTCGTTTTACTAGAAACTGTTAAGACGCAGATTTTCGTGATATAGATGTCATGGTGTCATAACAAACCGATAACAAAATCTGGAAAATCTAACACCTCCTTAGCGAAGGATCATAATTTCTGTTGGAAGAAACAGTTTGAAGTTTTATTTTTGCTTGCCCGGTTAAACTCATAGAAATATAACTGATTCATCCAGATTGGCGAATCTTACACCCTCAAGTAGCCAACACAGACACAACACTGCAACCCCTGAACCGCAATCGACCAATATGTTTGTTAGTCTGTTTGTTTGATATATTGTTAATTGTACATGCATTTCACGTCCGCCATCTATGCAGAATAGATATTCTGCGTATGAGCCTGTTAATATGACGAGTTATACTAAGTGATTGGGGATGAGATGTTGCTATTGGTTATTGTCGTATAGATAATGGCTGCGTATTTATGCACTAAACTTGGTTACGTGGTTTGGATATTTAGTGGAAATATAATAATATAATGTTTATTCATGGGTGCTGGATGTGTTTCTCATATAGTAATTTCAACAAGATTGAAAGATTATATACGATGAAGTCTGTGGGCATATGGTGAAATGTTCAATCTTCGAATTAACAGGTTAAATAGAACTTTTGCATGTAAAAATCCATTAATAATAAAATACTCTTAAGATTTCCGGGATATATTGGTTCAATTTTATGAACATCATCTGGAAAGCTTCCATTCAACAGGTTCATTATGATAAACTATAGAATGTGCCAGCCTATCTCAGAAAATGAGAAAAGCCTCGACACCCTATAAATTGAGGAGCGGCCGTACCAGCCAGTTGTAGTTTCATCGGAAAGCTTCCAGGCGATATACTAGTTAAAATATGGGATTCACTGTGTTAATCTGTAGAAGAAGCACAACAGGGTCTGAGGCTTTGCATAATTATAAAACTTCACGCGTACGCAATTACTGGTGAAGTTGTTTCTGCGAGTGACTCAAGAGCTAAGGTCCCACGGACCGCTCTGACAACCAACGATGACTTGTTGTTTCTGCGAAACCCCATTCGACAAATTGGTTTGAAGATAAACTTTTGATGTTTGAATTTGGTAGGCTGTACTCTCAAAGCAGGCGATATTTAAACACTGTATCTTAGCGCAAGAAAGGTGCAAGATAGCTTGTCGGTGAAGTACCTGCCAACTCAAATGAAATTTGCAATAGCTTTCCGTTCATCCAACTGTATCCTCATAAATTCTACAAGAAAAGATTATATATTATTATATATTATTATAAGAATTCAGAATGACAAGCTGATGTCGGCCGGTGAGCTGAAGAAGAGAAGACTTCCTTTCTAACGACAGACTTGGAGGTCATCGCAGCAATCTTGTACAGTTTAATGCTTCCAAAACACAATACTGTACGCCGAGTTCTACTAAAAGGCCGTTCATTTCGTCTGGTCGGAGTCACAGATCACCGAGGCAGCTGCTGGGAAAAAGCTGGACGATTTGTTTAGGGCTAAGAAGTACTTTTCTGTACAAGGTCCAGATAAGTCCTGGCCTCGAGTATTGCTCACATGTTTGGGATTCTGCCGCCCCGACTACATTATCCATGCTCGATGCTGTTTAGAGGCGGACTGTTTTCTACCGCTACACCAACGGAATTTACTCCTCAGAGTTCTCCTCCATGATACCGCCACACGATGTGCTTGCCATCCAAAACTGGTCGAATCGACCGCTTCTGAGTCCAGTGTCGAGATTGTGGAGCAATCTGCATGAGGAGGCTTTTCCCAGTTCTACTTACCTTGGGCAGTCCAAAATTCAGATTAACAAAGTTTCTTTGAGCTCCTCATAGCGGCCGCGGTACCCTGGCATTTAGGCTTCTGCTTGCGCTGCTGCTTCGGTGTAAAACAAAATAGGAAGGCTCTGTACGTGCTATACAACGCTAATATCACTTTATAAAAAATTTATGTTTGGCACAAATTAGCGCCTCTTAGAAAAGGGTTAAGCACAAACATGTATATTAAGGTAATTAGATGTTAGTCCCCAATACCAGCTCATTCGACAATGTTGCGATCTAGAATCTTTTTCACTGCCCTACTGACCATCTAACAAGGTATCGATTACAGTTGTGATGAGCTAATCTAGCCAGTAGCTGCGGGCGGCTTGCGACAGGTAAGTAGTGGTAGCAATATTAGGGAGATAAATCCTGGCAACCGGACCACCTTTGACCCTTTTTATGGACCCTACAGTAGCATCACTATAGTCCTTATCTACTGATATCAGGTATGTGATTATTAAATAAGGCAGTTCCAACGAGATGCGATGCGACCCGTTTGATCTAGCACCGATCTGGTACGTATATTCGTATATCAAGCCCTACGAGGGTTGCCCTCCATCTGGCTTTGGCCGGATATGTTTGGCTCTTCTTCGGTCCTGTCCGGACAAAATTTGTATGTGCCCGGCCCAACTGGCTTTTGTCCTGCGCCTGCAGTGTAAAGCGGCGGGTGTGACCATGCCCAAATACCTTAAAGAAGGTGCCTTAAGCTTAAGCGGTAAGCTTTTTGTTTCATGCAGAGGAAAATGTTGTTTAAGTTTAAACGTATCAGACAAGTATGGGGATTATTATTATTATATTCTAGATTGTTTATTCGCTTCTTTTTTGTTTTATATAAATACCAAAAGTTGATTGCCGTAAGACTGTTTAGTTATTACTTATTGTTTTTAGTCATGACTACTCAATATTTTAAGAAAACTATGATTAATGAGGCACTATAAAGTTTAACAAAGTTTTTTATTATTGTAGTGATGCCAATTTTGAAAGTGTACGTTCGGCTTTGTATAAATCATGTTTGGCTAGTAAGAAGGTAACTTCCGGCTTTGTGTTCACATAAATGTCCAGATACCGCATCGAGTCTAGCTTTCATATTTTAGGAGATGGTAACCGTACTATTCGTAATTTGTTTGTCTGGACGGTCCGTAGGACCTTTGCCCATTGGTGACTGTCTAATGTACGTTAGTCGAATCTGTCAGTATTGGTTGCCCAGAAACCGATGTCAAGGAAAAAGAGAAAGGAAAAGAGAAGAAAAATGGAGAAGAGCAAAGAAAAATAGAAGTGTTTAGTTTAGGAGGAGACACCTAGGCTTTTTGACTTGGTACACGGATTAATTTTGAGGTGAACTGAACAAATTTTGATTTGGTTTTTTTGGAGTGTAATTTTAAGTTTACTAAAAGTTCGCGCTAATTTTTTATTACAGTGTGAGCCGTGGCCTTGAATGTTTACGAACTTGCTCCACCGTGTGGTCCACTGAGTCGCGCAACAGAGGGTTGCTGTGCGATTTCGCTTGACTATAACGTCGCTGTGCCTGAAGCTTGACTTAATCCCTTAAGTAAGGAATGTCAAGGCCTCTGTGTAGTGTCTCGTTTGAGACATACCATGTAGCGTTGTAAATTGTTCGCAAAGTTCTACTTTGCGGTACTTGAAGACTTTGCATACGTGTCTTGGCAAGAAAACACCGCCGCACATGCATAAGTAATGGCTGGTCTAATATTCATTTCGTATAGGCGAACCTTGTTCATCAAACTCAATTTGGAGGATCTACATAACGAAGGGTATAGTTGCCGAAACGCAATTTGGAATTTTCTGCCAGGTCATGCCTTTATCAAGCGTAACACCAAATACTTGACAGAATTTGTCCATCGTACACGATTACCTTCTACAGAGACCTCTGCTGGGGGGCCGCGACATTTTTGGTACAATAAATAGCCTGCGTTTTCGAATGATTAATTTTAATCAGCTAACGTTCCGCCCACCCTAGTACTTCTTTCACAGCACTCTGCAATCCATGGTAAACCAGATCACCAGTACATGACTGGGCGACAAGTGCAGTGTCGTCAGCATAGAGGTAGACTTCACATTTGCTGGGGCAAGGGACATCATGGATAAAAAGCGAATAAATTATTGGTCCTATTGCCGAAACCTGAGGAACACTGGCCCGTACTGGCCGTGTTGTTGACAAATCATTGTTAATTTTGATCCGAAACTTCCTTCTTCCAAGAAAGGATTTTAGTAATTTTAGAAGCCAAAAAGGAAAACCCTTTTGGATTAGTTTATAAAGGAGGCCCGCATGCCACACCTTGTCAAAGGCGTTCGAGACATCCAAAAGCAAGATGCCAGTACTCATGCTGAGGGTGAACCCTCTGGTTACATGTTCCACCAGCCTGACTGCCTGTAGCTCGATGCTATGCTCGGACCGAAAATGGAATTGAATGTCAGGAATCACATGGTGATTTGACAAACAATTCTCAAGCTGACGAAAAATCACCTTTTTGGCGAGCTTAGGAGGAGCTGACAGCAGACTTATGGGACGGTAATCTTCAGGAAATGTCGAACCCACCTGCTTTGGAATCATGATGACCTCAGCAGTCTTCCACCCAGCAGGGAAGTACCGGATTCTGAGCGTCGCATTGAGTATTGTCACCAAATATGTCAGAGCCTTCGGCGAGAGCAGCTTCAACGCCTTGTTGCTGAATATGGTAACCCTAAGCACATCTCGACTAGGTGAATACTTCGTTTGTTGCCAATGATTCCACCGCCACTATCTCGATTTTCTAAACTTGCACATCTTTTTTGTCTTTAGCATATTAGCAATCTTTTCTCAAAATTTCATTAAAATTCGAGCAGTGCTTCACAAGTTATAGAAGTGCTAATGATTAACGGGCAGATAGACGTAAATGAACATTTTCATTGGTTTGGTGGGATTTCCAACAGGGCAATTGAAAATTTTATGTTTACATGAAGATGACTCAGATTTAAGAGATTATGTCAATTTCAGAAAGAACATTGCACTTTACCCTCGTGTAACTGCAGAATATCTAAAACTAGCAACGCGATAAATAATCGCTCAGGTAGTCCGCTGATCAGATAGACTGTAGATTACATCTGTCACGATATCTCTCCTTCTTGAAGCCTGTGCATCATCCGATAAACTAGCACTAGCAATTGCAAAACGAAGATTTTATGAAATTTTAAAACGTGCAATCTATATTTTGCAACCTGCTGCCTGCTGCATACACAAAAATGCGTTATTTATAGGTCTTCGGTCGTCAGTAATATCTAAGTGTAACGCCTTTACGCAACCTCGAATTCGACGGTATTGTTTTCTTCATGACTTCGTGATCCTTAACGTCGGTGAAATGTTATGAAACAGTACATTTAATTATTATCATCAACGTTGATAGATTATTGGTTGAAGATCATTCCAAGTTGCAGCAATATATACTTTGTGAGACCTGGAATTTCAAATGGTGTAAGTGATAACCATGCTAACCTGCTGCTGTTCCTAAAGAACACTGACATCTAATATATATGCCGTTACTGCAAAGCGATAGAACCTCAAATTTTCAGTATTTTCAGTTTTCAATATTTTCAAAGTTTTCACCAAAAATAGTAAAGCAGTAAACATTCTCAGGATTTCAAGCATTATGTCAGATATTTTGAACATCATAAAATTTTTAGGAAAGTGAGAATGTTGAAGAATTTGGAAACGTGAAAATTCTGACAATTTTTGGACCTGTTGAAAAAATAGCGAGATGTATAGCGAATAGCGATTTTATAGCCATTTATGAGTGTCAGTTTGACTGTATTATAGTCTGGAAATGTTCAAATAATCTACTAATTGTTCCACGGCTATTCATGATGATGAGTACATCAAATTTAAAAAAATATTCTCCAAAGAAGGGAGATAATATTCCTATTATTATATGCTAAGAACTGCCTTCCAAAAACTATTATATGAACATTTCAGTCATTTGTCTAGCACTTAACTTACTTTTGTTCAATGTTCTCCTATGATTTTTGCATGTTCTTTACACCTTGTAATCTCATTCGTAGAACGATTTTTTTAATTAAATAGAGGAGTTAGCTGTGTTCTACTATTTTCATCTATTCGTTTTAACTTGTCTAGTATGACATGTCTTCTAGGGATTTTTATAATTTTATATAAATACATTCACTGTTACACATTATTGTGAAAAACTTACACATTGTGAGTAAAATGATTTTCAATCACTATAAACACGTTTAAAACCCAATGAATTCCAAAAGTTTAGAAGGAACCAATCGGTTTTCATTGAATTGTTAGTCGCCGAAATTGCGTCGTTTAATAGCGCTTACTTTTGACCCATCACAGCGTTGTATCAACATAATAATAATAATTACTGGCGAAAATACCTACGTTTGTTAGGTTTGTACCGACTCTTTGCAAATTATGTAAGAAGTACCATGTCTTGGAATAGTCTAACACTACAATTATCTGCAAACACTCGTACTTTCAAAAATAATACTAGATATACGAATTTAATGGCATAACTGACAATTGACTTACGTCAAGTGCACTTTGGTCCTCACTACAGGCTATAAGAATTCATAAATAAAAAAATTCTTGACCGGGTCCTTCTACCTTGTCTGAATTCGATGCTTAAACCAAACTGTCAAAGCCAGAATTGCAATACTAGTTGCCTACTTTAATATTAAGCATCTGCTATAAAATTGATATTGACTATAAAATCTAAAAAGTTAATAATTTTGATTACTACTTCGGATTGCAGAGTAACAGTACAAAAAACCAAACCATCTCATGAAAATACCTAAATAGATACGCACAACAGAAAAGACTATTTTTGACATCAGTGACAGCCTAGGATGAAAACTGTTACAGGCTACTTAAAATTGCAAATATTAGATCCTTCCTTAAATGATCATCAAGGAAGCGTTATTGTTTGCTTAAAATTCAGGGGTTGATCAACCCTCAGTCGTCCCTTAAGGGACGGCTTTAAATGTGGACCCAAGTGAACTACCCTCGTATACCATTACGGACTGGCAAACCGCACTGCTGATGAGGAAACGCGGTAGCAGTGAGCGATACAAATCGACTCCCTTATAATCTACAACTTGTAATGAATTCGTCCACATTACAATCCCAATTCAGCCAGCGGAAGGAAAAGCGTAATTCAGCGTTTTTGCAGCTCTGCTAACTCCATAAATTAAGCGACAGTGTAAGAAATTAGGAAGAAACTGCTGGGCTGGCTGAAAATGCAACGGGGGAGTTTAAGTTTTAAAGTCGCTATCCCTTGTTAGGGGATGAAAGAGGTAAGTGAGTAACAGAGACTAAGTGGTTTCTCTCCCGCAGTGTATGAAGCCGACAAGACGCAGATACGAGAAGCGACAGACTCATTGTTCCATAATTAAATGTGAAATGAGACTCTATACTAGAGGTTATCTTTGAGGGAATTTTAGAAAGACAGCAGTTTTCAAAAGCATCCTCGGTTCATAAAATAGTCAGATTTGGTTAGATTGCTATTACTGGCTATATAGCCTAGACTACAGAGAAAGAAAATAGATATCTCTTGTAATAAAGTTTAGCAGATATCTGAAAGTTTTAAATCTTTCTAATGACAAATACATAAAAAGATACAGCCAGATATGTGTTGTAATTAAATTTTATAAGTAATCGGTATCTCTCAAAGACTTCAACATTTTAATTTTTTTAAAGTACATAGTGCAAGTGACATGTAGCCATGTTAAGCATTTGCAGCCAATCCACTTTTTTAGTGGTCGTTTCGTGAACTTCCAAGCATTCCACTCAGCTTTTCCGATTTTCATTGTTCTTTTTGGCCAGAGGTTCATTGTCGCTGTCGCTTCATTGGTTTTTTCTGGCTCTTCCTCTGGTTGTTTTTGTTCATTTTTTGGTATTTTTAGTTTCTTTTTCTTTTCTGCCACATTGGTTGTTTTATGTTTATCAAGGCGAACCCTCTTTGTTATGTTTTCGGGTGATTTTAACACAGTTGCGCTTTGCTTGAACCCTTATTTGAAAGATACAGGTACTTTTGGGACAGGATAAACTTCTTGCATAAATTTTTAGGGAGTGATTTGCGGACCGTCGTCGTCATCTCCCCTACTACATGTTTGAACAGGACTAGTAGGGATGGTGGAGGGTTATCCTAAGCTGGGACGGTTAGCATCTCTTTCTGGGGAAGTGTTTTAATTTTAGCTTCTCAGCAAAGTTGTAAGTCAGCCGTCGAGCTGTATTTCTAGCAGGAGCAAATCCAGCCGCTGCCAATCGTTGGATGTGAACAATCAACCGTTTTTCATTTGTATGCCCTAGAACACCTTTAAAAATAAATTATGCGATAATGCTGAAGTAAAATGTAAAAAATCAAATAGCGTCTCATCGGAACTGACTTTATTAGTGGCTTCTTTCAATTGTTCTTTGGTCCACAAAGCCGTAGGGCGTACACTTGCCTTCCTCTAAAATTTTCGTGGCATTTTTCTAATAAAAATGTAACTTTTATTTAATAAGAGCCATGACAAAACAATAACCTTGAAAAAATAACATGCGGCACCTCTCCTTCCTGAAAATGCGCCCGTTTATCAAGATCACGCATTTAAAACGCGCCAAACTATAACATGACATGTGTAAGCATAACCTCAAAATACTGGAAAATATCAAATAAAACTACCACCGTTCAAAGAACCACACTTACTAGAATAGCACTTAAAATTTTGCAAAGAAAATTTAATCTTACCTTCCCAAATTCGAGGATAGCACGCGATATTTCTAAAAACAAACACGTCCGATGTCATAACTGTTCACTAAACGATCGACTTTCAATCGCCCTGTATAGGGCACTGATAGCAGCCGTCCCGTAATTTCGATCCGGAAAATTTTTTAGACGAAAGGCGAGATAACCGAGATATTTACTATGGAAACTGACCCAGGGGGGTCAGGAAATGGCGCTTCCACCATGGCAATGGAGATGGAGTCGAAGGAGCAGACCATAGAGGAGTTGAGAGCCGAATTGGAGATGCTTCGACAGGAGCTGTCAAAAACGGACGATGATAAGAAGACCATTGAAAGATTGATGATGATCATCGAAGCCCAGCAGCGGACAATTACCGACCTAACAGTTAAATTAGACCTCCTACTGAAAACCCAGGTACCTTCCCATCTAAATATTACATATTCTTCCCAAACACTTCCCAAAAATCCCAGTAAAGACAAAGCTGTCAATCTTAAGAGACCGTTAAATAATTCAAGCGATCTTTCCACAGACGACGATACACTCCCTGATGGTTTTACCAAGGTTAAGCCCCGTAAAACACGACGAAACAAGACCGACATGACAGGCTTTCCTCCTCTCCCTCCACCAAAATCGCAGTCTAAAACGTCTCATTCAACTGCAAGCAACTCGAATAAACAGCCTGTGCCTAATATATCGGTTACTTCCACGCCTTCGACATCTCAGGTACCAGAAGACACGACTTCACAGCCCCACGCAAGGTACGTGTTACCCCCATCGTTCTTCGCGATGCTTCGAGATGGCGAGGCGTAAATCACAAGTTTATTTCTTTGGGCATCAAATTCCAACGCGCGGTTGCCGTCGATGCAGGAATCAGGATAATTCCCAAGTCCGAGGATGATTACCGCAGGATTATTCGTCTCTTCAGGGAGGAAGAGGTGCCCCATCACACTTTCCCTCTACCCTCGGAGAGGAACATTCATGCTGTAATCAGAGGAGTACATGCGACACTTTCGGAAATTGAGATCAAGGAAGAGTTGCAACAGAGGGGATATTCCCCCCTGCACATAATTCGCCTGAAACGCGGTGGCGGCGTGCCCATGCCTTTGATGGTAGTCATACTGCCCAAGATAGAAAAATCTCAGCAGCTGTTCAACGAACACGAGCTGCTAGGTTTGGCTATCCGAGTCGAAGTTCAAAAGAACTCAAGACTCATCGGGCAGTGTCACCGCTACCCAAAATATGGGCATGCGCAATCTTACTGCACTGCACCACCTAAATGTCTAAAATGTGCTTCTGACCACATGACCCACTTATGCCCTCAAACAGAACAAGAGGAACGAAAGTGCGCGAACTGTGGAGGGGGGCATCCAGCGAATAGCCGAACTTGCAGATTTGCAAGTGATAGCGCAAAGGCGCAATGTAAGTTACGCGGATGCAGCTCCCCCCTCTGTGGGATCTTCTGCGAACACGCAAAATGTGGACCTGGCAACCGCGCTAAGGTCCTTACAGCAGATCATAGGTCCTCTGATTAGCGCAACACAGGCTTTGCAGGCGATCTTTCCTGCAAATGGCTAGGTACAATCGACGACAGCCTGCATTTATCAAAATTCTTTTTTGAAATTGTTTAGGTCTAAGGGACATTCCCAGAAGACGGGAATTTCATCAAGCTCTTGTGGACGAAAGTATAGATGTGGCCTTGCTGCAGGAAACATTACTTAATCCGGGAGATCGTCTAGCTTTCCCGAATTACGATGTTATCCGGGCTGATAGATTGACTGGACGGGGTGGCGGCTTGGCAGTGCTAGTGAAACGCGGTATTGACTACCACAGAAGCACAAACGCTGACATGCAGAGCATCGAAGCGGCTTCCGTGGTGGTCAATATGACGGTAGGTGTGCCGCTAAAAATCACATCGGTGTATGTCAGGTGTGGTAACAGGCTGCAAGAGGCGGATCTGGAAGTCCGTTTAGACTGCTCAGGTCCACTTATTGTGGCAGGGAACTTCAACTGCATGGCATTCCCGGTTGAATTCCACCAGTGGGATCCGACTGTATAACCATGTGATACGAAATGGCTACCTCATACATAGTACTGAGGAGCCGACGCACCACCCATTTAATCACCTTCAGGCACCTGATGTTCTTGATTTGGCATTATCCAAAAACTGTAGCTACAGTATTACTTCTCGAATCATGTATGGCATCTCAAGCGATCATCTTCCCGACGTTTTGGAAATGGCTAATGAGCAGATCTTGGGGGATGAAGGATACAAGTCGCTCCTCGAAGAGTTCCCCAATATACCGATCATAGATGATGAGAACGGTATAGATGCGGCTCAAGTAGAATGGACAAGTTTTGTTCAGCAAACTCTGCAGCGTGCAGCTGTACTTCCCGTGCAGCGACACGGCAGATCTTTTCTGCCAGCAGACATTCGTCAGAAAATTTCTGATAAAAGAGCTGCAATTAAGCAAGCGAAAAGGTCTTGTCATTCTGATGACATTCGCACAGCGACGAATCTTGTTCATGAAGTAAGAAATGCTCTTCATGAATTCCGCAATGAGCAATGGAACGACTTTCTGGCGGGGATGCTTGACTCAAGCATTCCTCTCTGGAAGGTGGCGAAGTTGCTCAAAAACGGAAAGCGTGAACAAATCCCACACATTCACGGTCCTGGAGGCATTGTCTTCAGGACAGAGGAGAAGGTTGAGGTTTTCGCCGATGCCATGGAAAGACAGTTCTCTCCCAACTATGATCTTGATAATGACCTCGACGAGGAGCAACACATCGTAAGATCTGTCAGGAGATATTTTAGGGCCAACGGCGTCAGTGACAGTTGCGCATTCGTTGGTGATTTTTCTTCATCAGAAGATTCTTCTTCAGAAGCTTCTTCAACCGAAGATTTGCTTAGCACATCAGCGGTATCTCCTGAGATCCCGCATTGCACACCAGCAGAGATTCAAGGTCATATTAAAGACCATAAAGTGTCTAAAGCACCTGGGGAGGATCAAATCACTAATAAGGCGCTGAAGCTGCTTTCGCGGAAGTCCTTAACTTATCTCGTGGCAATAGTCAATGCCATGCTAAGGATCCAGTATTTCCCATCCGCGTGGAAGACCGCTGAAGTTATAATGATTCCAAAGAAGGTGGGTTCGATATTTCCCCAGGATTATCGTCCCATTAGCCTGCTGTCACCTTGAGAATTTCTCGTCAGATCACCATGTGATTCCTGACGTGCAATTCGGTTTTCGGTCTGAACATAGTACGGAGCTACAGGCGGTTAGGCTGGTGGAACGTGTAACCAGAGGATTCACCCTTAACGAAAGTACTGGCATCTTGCTTTTGGATGTCTCAAAAGCATTTGACAAGGTGTGGCACGCGGGCCTCTTGTATAAACTAATCCAAAAGGGCTCTCCCTTTTGGCTTCTAAAACTACTGAAATCCTTCCTTGAAGGTAGGAAATTTCGGATCAAAATTGATAGTGTCCTGTCGACAACACGGCTGATTACAGCCGGCGTCCCTCAGGGTTCGGTCCTTTTACCTATCCTTTACTCACTGTACATCCATGACGTCCCTAGTCCCAGCATCTGTGAAGTCTGTCTCTATGCTGACGATACTGCATTGGTGACCTAGTCCATGACAGGCTGCAAAGTGCGGTGGAGGAAGTATTAGATTGGGCGGATCGGTGGCTAATTAAAATAAACCATTCGAAAACGCAGGCAATCTACTGTACAAAATGACGTCGCGGCGTTCCTTCTGAAGTTTCAATGAATGGGACTTCGTATACCATGGGAATCCTCCGATAAGTATCTCGGTGTCATTCTGGACAAAGGGATGACTTGGCGGAACCATATGGAAGCGCTAAAAACTAAATTCCAAATTACGTTTCGGTACCTTTACCCATTATTATGTAAACGGTCAAAATTAAGTTTGATTAACAAGATTCGGCTCTATAAGGTGGTCATAAGACCAGCAATGACTTACGCATGTGCGGCTTGGTGTTTTATTGCTAAAACACACATGCGAAATCTGCAAGTTCTACAAAGCAGGACGTTGCGCACTATTGCTGATGCCCCATGGTATGTCTCTAACTAAACTCTACATAGAGACCTCGATGTCCCTTACCTAAAGGACTACATTAAGCAACAGGCGCAGCGGCGCTATAGCCTAGCGAAATCGCACAGCAACACTCTGTTGCGTGAGTCAGTGGACTACACAGTCGAGCAAGTTCGCAAGCACAAAAGGCCGCGGCTCGCACTGTAATCAAAATTAACTCGTGAACTTAGAACTACCAGAATTGGAGCATTTTTACACAATCTTTAGAAAAAATCAAATATTTTTAGACCATATCAAAATCTGTGAAGTGATTTTAACAATGCCTAAACGCTGCCTATCCTAAAAGATTCTCTTCTTCCCCTTTGCTCTCGTTCTTCCTTCTCTTCTTTCCTTCCCCTTTTTTCCTTAAAATTGTCTGGTTTCTGGGTTACCAGACGTGACAGACTTACAAACTGACACTGTAACTCAAGAGCTAATGTCCCACGGCCGCTCTGACAACCAACGATGACTTGACGATCGACTTTTATCATGGATATACTCGATTGCCTACTCGGCGTCTCTCCCGCAGCGGCAACTCTCCCGCATTTACCCTAGAAGTAAATTTATCTGTAACTTGTATTAATATGAAATATTGTGTTCCGTGTGTAAGTTTCAAACAATATGTACTAGTACTATTCCAAATTTTGTAAATTACAAGGTCATATTCAGAAATTGGATGTTTATGTTCCATAAAAGTAAAAGTGGTAGTATTTCTCGTTATTTAAAATACATTTGCTACAAGTGAATCTAGTGTGGTAGAAAAGAATATGTAAGCTTCTTGGTACAGAAATGGTCAGATGATGGTAACAACTCTGATGCTGATTTTTTGTGGTATAATTTTGATACTGAATTCGAATTTAAGGAATGGTAGCATAGAGGATTCAGATACCCGTCAAGATCAACATCATCAAATATAACTAACTCAATAAAGGCACTGTGATTTTTCTCATTTTTTCCTTAGAAATGTAATAGATTCATTCCAAAGTAATAATGTTGTTTACATCACAACTTGAAGTATTCTATTTATAGATTCTCTGATATCTTCTGATTTTTGGGTGACTTTTTCCTACATTATTCGAAATGAATGAGCTCTTTGGCAGAAAAATTCTGGTTCCTCGATGGCGCATCTTTCAATGAAGTTGTCTCAATGCCGTCTTTATAACTACCATATTCTATTATTGTACTACAAGGAAGTTATTCTAAATTAAGGAAAAAAGCATCTGTGAAACTGCTACGTCTTTTTTCGGAACGGTCTGACTGAAAAGCCAGTCTTATTTTTCTAAGATTTTCCTATACACATCCATGTGCTTTTGTTATCCATGGATTAAAACATTTGTGTGCTCCATTACACTTTCAAAACTTGGCATATTTGCGGCATGGCATTTTAACAGTGATGCAATTGTAATTCCTTAGTGGGTTTATTGCGAGTACAGTGGGTGATATGTGGAACAAATTATTATTCAACCATATTTACAGGTGATTGTACTTGTAACTTGTAATTAACTAGCATAGTATTTTTATAAAATAGGGCCCAGGTAATGGAATATATCATCTGTTGATGTCATTGTGACATTTCAGTTAAGGTTCCAGCGTGTCCTCAAAAAATCATTTATAGTCAGATAAAAATACTTTTCCATCGCATTTTTATGCTCCTTAAAGTTAGAGCAGTACTTTTGAGCTCATTCCAGGAAAGCTACAGTTGACAGAACCAAATTAATGAAATACGAGTACGAGGCGTCGTTCTTTGTACATCATACTAGTTATGTACTAGGAGTTTTTGATAAATAAAAAAATACCATAAGTACCACATATTAGGTTAATTGGATTTCTGAAATACGTTACTTATGCGATTTTCTTATAATTAATAGTCAACCTATATTTTTCGGACAACCTCAATTGAAGTTGAAATCGGGCTGAAGTCGAGTTGCTGTTGAGTTACTTTTGGTCGGAAGAGTGCTTCACCATTCCCTTTAGTGACAGGAAGCACGCTGAAAAAAAAATTACGTGGGTTATCTTTAAACTTACCGCCAAAATAAAATGAGCAAACTTTTAAAATTTTCATGCAGTCATTTATCTAGGCTCGCGACTGTTTGCTGCTGCACAAGCTTCTGTAGCAGTTAGTCGTGTAAGATCTTTAGACGGTATTCGGATTGAAGAACTTGACTGCTCTAAGTTAACAGGGAAAACCCCATTTAACAGTGAAGTTTTAAATAAAGTGATTAGATTACGAAATGATTCGTAAGACAATACCACATGTCTACAAAAAAGTAATTGATAAATCAAACTAAAAAATAAAAAAGAGTTTAAGATGTTCGAACAATATATCATAATTAATGATCTCGTAATAAAATTATAATAAAACTTGAGTGGGGTGAATTTTACTACATTTTCATAACTCTCCTCTCAGAAATAGTTGCCAATAGAATGATTGTAACATATA